ATTTCTTTTCAGATTCGAATTTTAAAATAATGAAAGAAATACTACTTACCATGAAGAGCCGCCTGTATATTTTCTTTTTTTAGGCCACAGGTTCCTTGCAAGAAGTTTTTTAAAAACTGTCTTGCGGCTTCGAAGTGCGAGGAGCGTGGCTCTTTAAAAAATAAAAGAGACAGTGCTCTCCCATCCAGTACGTTCGGCAGGTCTTTTTCTTTGAGATGACGTTCATCTAAAAATCTCATAAATTTTATTTTCGACTCCTCATCAGCCATTATCCTCTCTGCATAAGTCCTTTTCCTGTGAACAATATTAGTTTAGTTTAGTTTAGTTTATTTACGGTATAATACACCTTTTTTACATAATTTATCTTAATTTATATGAGTAACAAAAATTAAATGATTTTATAAAATTTCTATAATAAGGTTTACAATATAATCAAAGTAGCGCTGGGGAAGCATTTCGCTAAATCGCGGAATATATCCTAACAGCATCTTAAAAGGGGTACGTCCGGTCGTTTTACATATCGCTGTATTCAAATTTCGTTCCAATTGACTAACATTCTCATCCCATCGTCGACCATCGCAATCTTTTAAATTAGACTGTAACGCGGGTAGAATTGTTTGATTTAACCGTTCAACCTGCCCATTCGCTTGAGCATGTCTACTTGAATTTAAGGTTAATCTAATCCCGTGTTTATTACATAGTTCTTTAAATAAATCGGCTGTAAAGCAGGTACCTCTATCGGTTACAAATCGTTCAGGAGCTCCAAATCTCATAATAAAATCGGTAACTTTTCGAACTGTTGTATTCGCTTTGGTATTTTTCACGACGTACAATTGAGCGAATTTTGTCAAGTTACAGATAGCTGCTAGAATATAACTATTACCTCGCGTTGATGTAACAAACGGTCCCAAATGGTCTAGATGAACTATCGCAAAAGGTCTTCGACCAGGCGGAATCGGATGGAGTTCACCAGGTTGCCTTCCAGCCTTGTGTTTGGCGAACAGACACTCAACACACGCACCAATGTGATTGCGAACATATTTTCGCATTTCCGGAAAATAGTAATATTCATTTATTCGAGCAACGGTTCGATCTACGCCAAAATGGCTCGACAAATCATGACTCTTTAGAACAATAGCCTTACGCATCGAACGAGGAACGACGTACAATTCTTTCGACTTATCGGGTAAACTCAATTTGTACAAAATTCCATTTCGTAGTACATAATCTTTGATCTCTCCCTCCTCTCTTCGAGTACGTTCCATTTTGCTTTTTTCGAGAATTTTAATTTTCCTAGCTAAAAGTTCATCGTTTCGCTGGTACATCAATATTTCTTCCTCCATAATCATCGTATTTAACACCGTGGCAGTTTTCAAATCTTTACACGCATCTTCAACCGGACCGCGCGATAAAGCATCGACGTGACGCATTTTATCCCCAGGTCTATGACGAATTTCAAAGTTGAACTCAGCTAATGAATTTAACCAGCGGACCACTTGCGGATTTTTTGTTTTTAATTTATTAATGTGAATCAGCGCTTGACAATCTGTCACCACACAAAACGGTATACCGATCAAAAAATTTTCCAGTCTTTCCATGGCCCACACAATCGCCATTAATTCTAATTTCGTGGAATGATATTCTTTCTCTACGTCAGATGTGCGACGACTAATTGCGTAAACTAAATGAAGCTGTCCATCATCGGATTCCTGCAATAACATCGCTCCTAACCCATTCTTACAGGCATCCGTATGAAGCTCTGTTCTCGGTGATTGAGGATTGTAATACGCTAATACTGGTCTGTTTGACATCTTTTCTTTCGCTTCGGAAAATGCGCGTTGTTGATTTTCGCCCCACGTAAACGAAACATCTTTCTTAAATAAAGCAATGAGTGGCGATATCAATTTCGCGAACCCTGGATTGAACCTACGAAAGAAACTCGTTAGACCCACGAATGCTCGAACTTCATGGGTATTCTTTGGAGTAGGAAATTCCAAAATCGCACGGATTTTCCTTTCTCCGGGTTGCATTCCCCCCTTTCCGATCGTAAATCCTAAATACTCGACAGCTTCCAGGCCAAACCTGCATTTTTTTAAATTAAGAGTCAATCCGGCATTTTTCAAAAGAATTAGGACTTTTTCGATTTTAATCAGAAGTTCTTCAAATGACTTGGCATGCACGAGGATGTCATCGAAATATGTTATAGCCAAATCATTTCCGTATAGGCCGAAAATAATTTTCATCAGTTTTGCAAAGTAGAAGGGGGCGTTCATCAACCCAAAAATCGCTCGTTCAAATTGTCCGGTTTCATCTTGGGTGATGAAGGCCGTCTTCTCCTTTGCCTCTTCCGTCAAGGGCATTTGTAAATAACCCAATGCAAAATCGAGTATCGCGAATATTGTCGCGCCGTGTAATTTTTCTAATCCATCGTCAATGTTCGGAAGTGAAAAATTCATTCGTACTGTTATACTGTTTAGTTTACGGTAATCGATTACTAAGCGATACGTTCCATCCGGTTTTATAATTAATACACATGGGCTTGCGTACGCGGCACTTGTCTCTTTAGCAATTTTATTTTCTTTCCATTCGCGAACTTTACCTTTAATTACTTCTCGTTTATCATTATTTGTCGGGTACGGTTTAGAATAAGGCGGTTCACTTCCGGGTTTCAAACGAATGTCCATTTTTAGTAAATGAGTGCAACCTAACTCTGTCATATCCATAGCAAAACACGTTCTGTATTTATTTAATAACGTCAATAATTCCCTCTTTCGGTCGGAATCTAATGTTGATTGATTGGTTAAATCTTCCACAACAATTTGAATATATCGCGGTTTTAATTCGGGAACTTTATCAAAGGACACTATATCTGTTTGGAGAACACTCCCCTTCTCAATCATCACATCGTGTGAACTATGATTCGTTATCGGTAAGGATAGTTCTTGATCATTACAATTTACTCGAATGAAACTGACAGTTGCCCTTGGTAAACACGTGTTTTCTAGAACTGTCGCAGTCGTATTTTGTTTAAGTTCGCCCCCAATTTCCGGAAAATTTTGAAACGGGAATTCTTCTCGCGAAATAAAAACAAAATTTCCATCTATTCGATAGTAAGCGAATTGGGGTAAATCCGTAAAATTTCGACCAATTATCAAATCGTATTGTTGCACTTTATCGTTAACTACACGTAAACGCACATTTACGGCTCTACAGCCATCGACTGTCAAATCTTCCATCACGTATCCTTCGGATATTGTACCCCCACCACCGAATCCTTCTATCTCATTTCGATGTTTAATAAATTTAAAACCTGATTTTTCGACAACCGATTCTCGAATTAAGCATTCAGAACTCCCTGGATCAATTAACGCAATCATTTCGGATTTATTTACAATGACACACTTCTCGTATTTTCTAATTGAATTATTTGAATGATTATTTTCGATTATATTTACATTTACTGACGACATAGGTTTTGGTTTCGAATAATTTTTAGATATATGGCCGGTCCAGTCAACAATGATAACCCGGGAAATATCCGCCCCGGTGCCGGTAAACCATCGCCCCGGTACCGGGCCGGTTCTTGTTTACAGTGTTTTCGTGCCGGTTTATTGCCGGCACACCACCGGCGACGTACCGGGCCAGTGAAATTTTGACACCGGCCCGGTGCCGGTATTTTTGCCGGCTTGGAGCCGGTCCAGTCAACAATGATAACCCGGGAAATATCCGCCCCGGTGCCGGTAAACTACCGGCCCGGTACCGGGACGGTAGTAAAATAAAAAAATTTTTTTGTAACTTTTCTGCCGGCGTTCTGCTGGCACGGTGTCAGATTAGTATATTATTATTTATATTTTTTATATATATAATATAATAATAATGATTTATATATTTTATTTATTATTATTTATATTATATTATTATTTTTATTAACAACACATTTTTACATATATTAAACGTTAAACAATATTATTTATTAATTAATTTAATTGTAAACACTAAATAGAATGCTGAAACGTATGAATTATTATTAATTATTAACGAAAAATTTGAAGACATGAGGAATCGAATTTAGAACCCTCGGGCTGTTACGTGTGAAATTACTATCGGGTTTCTAGCGCAATTTTTACAAAAAATTCTCGCAGATATTAAGGCCAGAATTTCATTACGATTTCCGTGTTTGTGGAATTCTGAATGAATTCCAAACAAATTATTTTTTCCTGGGATAAAAATTCGATTCTCATTGTATTTTCTCTTTATTAGGCAAAGATTGAAGATAAAATGCATCGTAATTTACGGAAGTATTCAGATCGTCATAAGAGAAGATTAGTTGAAAAGGATAAAAAATTGCTCTTGAAAATAATTACTGGACCTGATATTGAAAACTTAACATTTTCTGCGTGTTCGGATGAAGAAGACCAAGAAAAGGAATCACATGTTGATAATAACAATGATAATTATTGCGTAGGACATGCTGATCAAGATGAGGAAATGTTTAATGTTAATAATAATATGAATAATGACTGTGCAGATTATCAGGAATCCCCATCCGATAGCATTCTTAGTTCCAGTGATATTAGTTTTTCTAGTTTTTCCAACGATCAGTCAACTTCACCACTAAACACATTATCTGAAAAGTCTTCAATTGGTTCAATGTGCTCTGATTTCGACAAAAATAGTGCTGATGATTTTAAACAAAATGCTACAGAAGAAGAAATTTTTCCTCAAACTAGAACTCTCTTTGAAAAAACATGAAACTGAAGCTGGCACCGAGTTATCAGCAACCAGTTAATTTTTAAAAATTACATGTTGCTTTTTTGCAACAAAACTATTTAATTTTAAAAATTAAATGGGTGTTGATAACTGATTTGACACAATGAATAATTTAAAACAAATTAAATCTTAAATTTAAATATTATTTTTGTTTAAAACCAACAAAAAACTCAAAAAATTAAGTGGGTGCTGATAACTGGGTGCAAGTTTCAGTTTCATTGAAAAAACAAAACTTTTCATACATGAATTGCAGAATTGGTCCATTAGATATAAAATACCTCTCATTGCACTAAGTATATTATTGTTGGTGCTTTTTGCGGTACGGGCAAACCAAAAAATTCTTCTGAATTTTTGAAGTTTTTCAAACAAAATATTATGGATTTAACTAAGAACGGATTTCAAACTGAATGTAATAAAAAGGTTGAAATAAATGTATATGCTCTCATTTGCGACACTCCAGCAAAATCCTTTGTTTTGAATATAAAATCACATAACGGTTATTATAGCTGCACAAAATGTAAAATTAGAGGAAAATGGATTGTAAGGAATCGCAAAAAAAGATCGTATATAACGTCGCGCGGAATAAAAAGAAAAATATCTAAGAGCGGTTGCGTTTGTTTTCCTCCGTCAGGAAAAAAAGAAAAACTTCGAACTGACGAAGAAATGGCTAAATACAACCCTAATGACGAATTTCAAAAAGGTGAAAATATATTTGCTGATATTCCACGATTTGGTTTAGTGACGTGTGTGCCTCTAGATTACATGCACCTTTTTCTGTTAGGAGTCGTTAAAAGGTTAATATGGCTGTGGTTACAAGGACCATTGAAATTTAGACATCAATAAAAATCTAGAGAATTTGCAAACTTCAAAACCAGAAGAATTTAAGAGGCGTCCAAGACCTATATCGGAATATCGATCATGGAAGGCTGTAGAATTTAGACAATTCCTCTTGTATACTGGACCCGTTATTTTAAAAGGAATTATCAAAGACGAAATGTTCAACAATTTTTTAGCATTACACGTTGCAACGAGAATTCTACTTTCCCCAAAACTTGTGACTATCTCAGAAAATATTGACTACGTTGAGAAATTATTGGAAAACTTTGTAAAAAATTTTTCAATCATTTATGGTGAAAAATTTGTCTCTCCTAATATTCACAATCTTCCACACATTTGTAATGACGTTAAAAAATATGGAGTACTTGATAATTTCAGCGCTTTCAAATTTGAAAATCACATGTCTTTCATAAAACGTTTAATTAGGAAACCAAATCAAGAGCTTCAACAATTAGTGCGCAGGTCTGCTGAAATAGAAGCAATTCAAACTCCTAATTATCAAGAAGTCAATCCAGTAAATATTCTAAAAATGAGCCATTCGAAAGGACTATTGCTGGAAAGAGATGCAGGAATTGTCAAACAATTTCACAAACTGACTACGAATTCATACACCATAAATTGTAAAACGGAAAGAGATAAATGCATTCTTCTGAAAAATGGGATTATTGCTTTAATCTTAAACATCGTGAAATATGCGGATGGGAAAACATTTTTTATTGGCAAAAAATTAAGGCAAATCGATTCTCTGTATAAAAATCCAATGGATTCCAAACTGTTCAAAATTGTAACAGCATTTGTGGAAGATCATTCTCTTCAATTGTATCCAATACGGGATTTTCGTAGTAAAATGTGGAAAATGGAATTAGATCAAAATGTTATTTTCTGTCCACTTCTACATGTTGAAAGTAATCCAATAGAAAACAACTAACAGAAGTTAAGAAATTAACTTCTTCATGTTTAAAATTCTTTTTATTTCTACTTCCAATGGATTTAAATATTAATTTATTTATGCTAACCACAGAAACATTGTCAATATTTAAATAATGTTAAATTTTTTTGAATAATTTTTGTAAATTATATTTGATGATTTACAAATTGTATATTTTTAGAATATTTATATTTATTAATCACTTTTTTACCCATAAACTAATATCATAATTTAAAATCTTAAAGGTTGTAATAAAAAATAATTATGTTGTTAAAAGTTTAATAATAAAAGTTGGTTTTCAAATTGTAGATGTATTATTTATTCATTTTAATTGAGGTAGTTTTAATGTTTTCTAAATCAAAATACTCAAAATGATCTTCATATACAAGCTTAAAAAGAGTTCTGGAGCACATTCTTAAATCACTAAGAGGAGGTGAAAATACAAATAATTAAAGAATTTTTGTTTTTGCTTAAAAAATTTATTATTCAATAATTGGACAGGAGGGCAAAAAGTACGATTAAATAGAGTAAAATAATGGACTTTGAAAATTAATTCAAAAGTCTACTTTCTTTAGGCAAATGTTTTGTTTAATAAAGGAGAGAATTATTTTAATATGACTGTAAAATCATTTGTTCTTATTTTACTGATTTTATTTATTTATTATGTGTGTGATGAGAAAATTTCCGAAATTTTTTTGAAGGACAAAATCCTAGGTTTTAATCATGGTTAAAACCTAGGTTGAAACATAGGTTACTACCAGGTTTTTTTCAGGTTTTTACTGTAGATAGTGTTAGGTTTTTTATCATGTTTTGTCAAGGTTAATGTTATGTGGGCTGTTGATTTTTAATTTGTTTTGTCCGCCATATTGGATACGCCATTTTAAATTTTGATTTTAGATTCGTAATCATAAACTCTGAAAAAACCTTTACATACCAAGTCATGGTGGCCACTAAAAACAATCAAAAAATTTCCCTGACTTTTCCCTGACTTTTTCCCGACCTTCCCTGACTAATATTCTGAGTGTTTTTAACTTGGTTTCTAATGAATAATAATTTAAATAAGAAATGTATCTCTTAAAGTATCAATAACTACACTGAAAAACTTTTTGTTTCAAAATTTAATATGATTCATTTCAAACAGGGGAAAATGGATTTTTTAAATAGATTTTTGAACCAATTTATAAAAAAAGATAAAATTCTTTATTTTAAAAATTAAATCTATAAAATTAATGTAGGGCGGGGTACTGCGAATAAAACCAACTTTCCATAAAAAAGCTTCTGATATTTTAGCGAAAAATAAATGTTTTGTCCTTTTTTCAAAATTTTGATTTTATAACATTTATAGCTCCATGCTAAGGTTAAAGTTAAATTCTGTTTCTAGCCAACTAAAACAAAATTACGGATTTATTTATCGTGGGTCGTTTCGTTGTTTAGCCGCGTACTTGCTTAATGTCAAATAATATTTAAACATATAAACCCAAAACATACGAAAAATGTACAAAATACATTAGGTTCCTGGAGTTGGCATCGATGCTCAGCATCGAAAGTTATTTTTTCTTATTCTTAGTGATAAAATTTTAACTAATTTTCCTTCTTTCATTCACTTAGAATATAAAAAACTATTTAAGAGTATTTTTTAAACCTTAAACCTTGGGAAAGATTGAGTGATTTTTTTCGCTTTCGTACAAAAAATATTTTTCGATGCTGAGCATCGATGGCAACTTCAGGAACCTAATACATTTAACATTTATCCCCACGGTGCCCACTAAAAATCAAAGGGAACCCAACCATTCGTTCTTAAGGTCGGCAAAACTTTAGCATCCATAGAAGGCCCAACTCATTTTGCCAATGGTCGGGACAACCTGTGGATTGATCACGTCGGCCGACCGATGGCTAACACAGTTGGGCCGACCATGTTTGCCAAAGTCAGCCCGACCATTCATGCCATGGTTGGTAAAACTTTGGTATCCATAGACGGACCAACTTTGGTGCCAACAGTTGGGCCAACTACATCAGCCACTGGTCGGCCGACGTGATCAATCCACAGGGTGGCCCGACCATCGGCTTACAAAGTTGGACCGACCATGTACACGGTTGGCCCGACTATGGGCCGACCGACAATTCGCACCTGGGTAGCCTCAGTCCCCCCAATATAAAATTTTTTTCCTTTTATAATATTTAAAATTTCCATGACCAATTAAAAAATTCCCTGACTTTTCCCTGATTTCCCTGACCTATTTATTTTTCCCTGACTTTTCCCTGACTTCCAGGTTTTCCCTGACCAGTGGCCACCATGCAAGTGTGGTAAAATTGAATTAATGAAAGTAATTCAGACTTTAAATAGTTAATGAAAAACAAGGACAAGGGGATAGATAAATTGTCTGTCAGCCCTTTTTAGATTTTTTGTTAAATTATAATATTAATTAATTTTTATTGTGGAAACTTGAAGCCGAAATTAAGCCGAAATTTGTCGTACATTGAAAAATTGTTAAAACTCAATTTTAAGCATTTTGGAAGGTGGTTCTGCCAGCTTGAAGTAAGGGTGACAAAACCATGGATTTTTTTAAAAATATAAAGGGCCGGAAATTTGGCAATGAGGCATTAAATTAGCCCTAAATGAGCCCTTAATTATGCAATAGAGGTCCCATCATGATCCGACAATATGGTTCTGTCAGGTTTACGTAGCTAAACAATTGAATTAATGCAAAGAATTTTATTACTTTTGAAAATAATTGAATTTTTGCAATCATTTGTAAATTCTCTAAAATTCATTTTTTTAAAGTATTTTCAACTAAAATTCTTTTATAAATTAATTCCTTTTAATAAATAATTAGATATATATTTAAAAAATTCAACTAATTTCAGACAAATTTGAAATATTAAAATTTTTCAAAAATTTAAGTTCTTTAAAATTTCTAATTAAATTCATGCAAAATTGAAACTTTATAAAATTTCAATTCATTTAATATAGAATTATTATCTAGAATTTTAACTGAAATTCATTTTTAAATCAATTTTTATTAGATAATTCTTCGAGAATTCAATTATTTAAATTGTATTAAAAATAATTAAAATTCTGGGATGAGTTTTATTATATATATTTGTGAAAATAGTTGAGTTCCTAAAATGAATTTTAATGTAAACGAAAGTAATTGAATCTCTGTTAAAATTTTATTATTTTTAAATTAATTGAATTTCTGTAAAAGTTTTATTATTTTATGAATAAGCCAGAAATTTTATTCCAAACCGGGAATTTTTACACCAAATTAAAAAAAGTTTTATTATTTTAATTTGTGTTTAAAAAAACGCTTTTTATTTCATTTTTTACAGACGAAAACTGTTCTCTAAATTTAAATTAGTTAAAAATAATTAATTTCACGGTAAAAATCAGTCACTGATTCCAATATTGTATGTAAATAAATAAATATTTAAAAAATTATCGAATTAATAGAAATTTCGTGAAATTCAACTGAAAATAATCAAATTTATTAAAGAATTTCATTAAAAACTTTTTATCAAATCGAATGTTCAAAGTATTTTAATTTAATAATTGATAAATAATTAAATTTTATAAGGAGTCTCATTCCCCGTGTGGAAAAGTGAGGTGGGCCCACGGTGGGTCCCAGGTGGGCTTCCCAGGTTCTAGGTGGGCCCCAGCTGGGATGGCCCAGGTGGGCGATTCCTGGGCTTGTAACGGTGAATCCAGCCACAGCCCATAGATTTAGTTTTCATTCAAATTAATGAATAAACCATTTATTAATAACAAATAAGTCAAATTATATATAAATAACGTTATTATTAAACGATTTTTACTTTCTTTAATGAAATTCTGACCAAAAGCAAATTCATAAATAATGTTGGCATATATATGGGAATTAATATATATCCTTTCATTTATAAATTAAAAATTTATAAAAAAATTAGAAATTTGTTAATTAAATTATTAAACGGTATATATAATCACTAAATTGCATACTTATACGAATACAATGCAGAAAAATCGGAATAAACGCAAACCTGAGAAACAAATAAAATCTAACGCACGCGGGGATTGAACCTACGACCTATGGACTACGAGACTAACGCCCTAACCACTATACTACGGAGACTAACTGAACACCGACGTTTTATTGTCAGTGACTTGTTGATCTGCTTTAATGTTTCAATAAAGCACTTATTGACACCAATACACCGTAACAAATAAATAAATAGTTTAATAATAATATTAATAATAATAATAATAATAATAATAATAATAATAATAATAATAATAATAATAATAATAATAATAATAATAATATTAATAATGTAATAATAAACGATAAATATTCATAAATTAATATTTATATTATTATTAAAAAGATATATCAATAAATTTTTATTAAAAATGCGTTTTTATTGTTTACAATCATTATAAACATTAATTTGTTGGTCTAAAAAAAATTGTTTTTTTAAGTTGTTCGGACTTAGAAATTTTTGCTAATTATTTATGTGGACATTACATTAAAAAAAATAGTGTCAATCCATTTTTGTTAAAAACACGTTTTTTCTTAATCTAAGTCATTATAAACATTAATTTTTTGTTGAAAAAAAAAATTTTTAGGTTTGGACTTAGAAATTTTTGCTTATGTAATTATTGATGTGGGTCCTCAAAAACTGGGAAGCCCAGGTAGGGCCCAGCTTACGCCCACTTACAATACACTGAAAAAAAAATTTATTTGATTCAAATAATTCAAATTATTTGAAAAATATTTAATTGATTTAAATACTTTTTAGTTGGATCAAAAAAATATGTATTTGATTTAAATATCTGCAATTATTTGAATCATACTTATTTGAACCAAATAAATCGTACTTGATTCAAATAAATAGTTAATTGAATTAAATAAATAAATTTATTTAATACAAATATTGAATTATTTGAAACTATTCTTTCATTTATTTCACTCAAATACTTCGTTTATTTGATGCAAATAAAAATTATTTGACACAATAAATTT